GCGGTTTTATTTTGATTACAGCCCTACGAACGCTTGTGATATGCATAAAAGTCTGGAGACGGATAGGCCTGCACACTTTCACTAGTTTGACTAGAAAGTTCTTCATGAAGTTTTCGAATATTTGGAGTTTCCTTTATCAAACTTACTGCTCTATTTACATGGACTATATGTATATATATAATATTGTTGTATAACTTGTATATGTAGGGACCCACAGCGCAGTGACCATAGACGACGCTCTGCAGTGCACGCTGTCACTGATGCAATATCTTTAAATTCTGTTGTTTTCCTATCTTAAAACTTTATTTTAGGTTTAAAAGTGCATATGTAATGTGGCATGTTTTGCTCTTCTCTGCATGATCGTCCCAGTGTTCCATTTTAGATTGAACTCTAGATGAAAATTTAAACACACATTTTACTTCATAGTGAACTTTATTTACACAAAAAAATAAGGAAATCTAACATCTTTGTCAGCATGGTGCAATGTCACTTGTTCAATCAAGGATACATTCCAGACTGCTGCAATCCAAATACCAAAAGCCCTTAACCCACTGAAGCATAGTGTCGCCAATCGTGGTCACCTCCAAACAAAGAACCCGTGTCTGCTCTGTATATCCAAATTCACCAGGAGAGCCCGATGAACCCACTTAGTGCCCACTCGTTTGTAAACCGCAACAAGTTAAAGTATTATGTATGACTTTAGTAAACTCTAGGGAGCCGTAGCTTATCACAGGCGCTGGTCTAAGATGGTGTGGTGATAATGAGTTCACTTTCTAGTTAAGAGTTCATAGTTATAGGATACTACACTTGCACAAAAAGAAAACGTCGTTTTAGAACCATAAAACATTGAAAGAGATGTCCTAAAGCTCTAAAGATTTTGGCTTATCGTAATTAACTAGGAACAGCTCACTTCATAAGTGATTAGTTTCGGCATAACAACCCATTCCTGTATTGTTTGCTCATCAAGAAAAATTAATTAACATTGCACTGTTCTTTGATCAGGTAGCGAGTAGACCGCAGTTTACTAGAGCTTGTGCCAAATTCTACCATATATTTGCGCCTGCTAGTAATATTAACCCGACGCTATATAAGTTTTTTTCAGTGTAATTGATGTACATCCGATCCTCTTCAAAGCTTTCCTTTGATGAGTAATGTATTGATATGTAAGCCCATCGTTTTCACAAAAAAACTATACAAAATAGCAACAGAACAATCCTTACGTTAACCCATTAAATCCTGTTATTCCCCTTCACACCGTCATCCAATAAAAACATGTGTTGGTGTCATCGTAGAGTTCCATACAAGCTATGATGAACTCTGGTTGTTTCCAGTAGGAATTAACTCCGTTGTTTGTCAGTCACTATGAACGTCATTTGGACGATCGTCTTCCTGAATTGCCACTGCTGTATCGTCGAACTCCTGAGTCTTTACTATTCACATTTATCGGATGGTTCGTGAATGTTTGAAAAGTATCTCGCAGTTCATCGATCTCAGGTGATGTCAGATCCTGAAAATAAATGTCACATCAATTACGACTCGAGGTTAGATGCAAACGAAAGTTTCATATCATAGTTTTCTTTAGCTGTATTTCTTTTCTGAAGGATAGCGACTAGATATCAAGCGTAAAATGGCAACGTTGAGTAAAACACTGTTTAGAGCCCGAAGGTCGGCTTAACCATAATTACGTTAGATTTGAATTATTACTCTATACAGTTAACTAGTATATCAGCAATAAAGATATGTGTGAAAACGGGAAACGTTCATCGACTGACGCTTCACGTCTGTACAGACCTTGGTCACGTTTGGAAACTGAGTATGCGGTATTTTCATAACAAAAACTATTCCTACGCAATAACGAAAACAAACAAGGAAGTAACCTTCGTCACTGTCTGCTAAAACAATAAACAATAGTTATTAAAAACGATAAACGATAAAGCTCTCGGCGTTGATCAATCCCTGAAGGATGCGCCATACACTTCATTAGGCATCGCTGGAGGTGATTGATTGCATATCTGGCCTTTGCAATGACATGCGGTGGCCTACCGATGTATCGAGCCAGCTATCCTTCAAGACAAATGTGGTACCAATTTGCCGACCTCGGAAGGGTGGAAGGCTTGGTGAGCCAAGGGAGCGGGAATCGATTCCGTATGTATTGCAGGGCGCCTCCGACCACTGCGCCACACGGGCCTCTGAAAAAGTTATTATTCTTGAAAATGTCTAGATTCGCTTAGTAAAATTTTGATGCCTGGTATTTGGACGACCCGACCTCACTGGTTGTGCGATCCTAGCATAATCTCCATTTTTTCGGAGTTTTGTCGGTTTAGCCATCGCGGTTCCTTGGAATACACCGAGGACAACCTGGCCAAAACCCGCCCTAGGTCGTCACAGCGACAGGCTGTCGCCGTTTTTATGGATCAAAGGAGGATTTACCACCACGCGACTTTGATACTAAGACGGTGGTGGATCCTGGTATTAGTTTACTCTTAGTTAGGCTTCCTGATGGAAATGCCGGACTTCTTCTCAGCTTGGGAGACTGCCAGGACGAATCCCGCTGTACATAGCAGCCTGACAACCACCGGCACCTCCCATCCACTATAAGGCGGTAAACCGTTGGGAGGCTTAGTGAAACAGAATATTCAACCATAATAAGTAAGATACATGCTACCCATGAAGTTTGATAGTCATTCAGTAAAAGTGATAGGTGATATACTTTTAAATTTCAGACTATTCTGTAGGAACCCACTCAGTGGGATTTGTGCTGTCGAAACTACTCTAGTGGGAACAAAAACTGGATGAAATTGAGGAAATTGGAACTGGATAGGGTTAGAAAATTTCATTGAAGGAAACTGCAGTTGAGAAGTTATACTGGATGACAATAAACAACGACAATAAGCAGGAGATGTCCATTCCTTACATATACGTCGCCACGTTACTTTATTCGAGTACGGTGCTCTCATTATAGCTTATTATTTGTACGATGTGAAGTCTCCTTACGTCTCTATATTCACCATTATAATAGGAATACATTAATTGGCGCAGTGATTAGTTCCTGATAATCAGCTAATAATAGCGAATGGTTTCACATAAAAGTATAAAACTAACCACACAGATTCATAACATGCTTAGGAAGAATTGCAACAAATTCAAAAGCCGTTCTGTTGCGGATATTACCAAATAAAGGAGTTATTCTAATGAATGTTCTAAAACAATTAGGCATCGATTTTCAATTCATCTAATATAAAGAGTTTGTTCAGAATGCCAATTATAATGTGTTTGCTGATCTCTTATACTGATATACTTCTTAGGTTCTTTGGTAATCAATTTCGTTTTTCCATGCGACCTAGTTATCAACAGTTTCCCGACACTCATAAATTTCTTTGCCAGCTGAGATATGTCGGTTTCGCAATACAAGCAATCACCAATATGGCATCCTATGCGTTGAAATCAATTTGAGTCCTATATTATGTAACTCCCACGACCGACTTTCTATTAACCTCGGCATTGATCAAGTAAATCTTCGTATTTTTGTTGAGCAAACGCGAGGTGTTATTATTCTTTATTCACGAATAAGCTGACCTTTCGGCGGATTTCGCCTTCCTCAGAGCCTGGAATGGTCAAAGTGATAGCAATCTATTCGGCCAGACACCTCCATAACCAAACAAAAAAATACTAAACCAAGATTTCAATCACATTGAACACAGCTTTGCACACTCACCGCTTTCTATGAGGTTTCTACTAAGTATGTCGCGTGAATACCAGCCGCACAGAAATCATATGGAAGCATAATGTGCCCCTCCCATCAGAATAACAGTCTTGTATACTGCCCTATATCACGCGTGATAATGAGGCATTCTTCCATGCGGTTCATTTTTGGATTTTTGGTTTCAGTTTATTCGTGAATAAAGAATAATAACACCTATATTATGTGTTGATTGAAATAAAAACCACCGCATTCCAAACACTTTATTCATCGGTGTAAGTCTTCTAGTTCCGACCAGTAAAATCTTAGGTCTTTACAGCTCAGAGTTTGAGCTAAATGAAAACATTTCCAGAAGATTCCGCCACTTTACGCCGATGTTCCAACTAAAATAATTCACTAATTTGCTCACTACTCCGTTTATGTTGCATTTTTCTCTATCGCCTAAATTTAGCACAACAAAAATCGACGTTAGGTAGCAGGAGTGGGGCGATGATTACGTATTCAAATGGTAGATATTATAATAGCAAATATGAGGAGATATGTGTAGCGCAGTACTTGGAGGTGCTCTCCGATAGGCAATGTTTTGGTTGGATTTCGCGCCTTGGATAAACAAGGTCTCCAACCAATCGGGGTAAAAATATTGGTTCCACACTTGTCCGGAAGGATAAAAACACCTGATAGATCGTAGGTAGACCCACTGAAGTACTGTATGCGCGGGAAATGCAGTCATTTACTTTTACAAGTTTAAATAGACTTGAAGGTATATCGCATTCCTGAGAATAGATCAGCGCTTTTACAGATCATAAACACATAGACATACAAGTTTATTCAAACAGTGAACAAAAATGGCATTCGTTTCCAGACGACCTGTTGTTATTGGTTTAACCGAGCGTCAAAACAACACCATCGATAAAGTAAATGTGGTCTCTTGGTGTCTACACGAGTTCTTACCTATCCCCGACATTCGTTCAGTGAACTTATGAACATCGAAACGCAAAGTCAAAATGACAAGACATGCAAATTTTAATTAATTATACCTCTAAAAGACAGCTGTGCAGACAATCTGACGTTCTCGGTGGTCGATTACTGAGTAGATCCGAGAAATCTGAGGCTAGCTAGAAATAGCGGTTATGGTTAAAACAAACACACACAAGCTAAAACACTAAGCATTCTCTATACTCAGATGCTCTGTGAGGAAATTAATGAGTACTAGTAACAATACATGATTATAAGCAGATGTAACGTCTCCAACTTCAAAAAAGTGGATTCTCCAGGAATAGTTGGTTTCGCCTTTCAAAAGTTAAGCTTGCTTAGAAATGCGGTGCGGTACACTACTCTGAAAAAAACTACTCACTTTTTGAAAAACTTCGGTTGGTATTTGAGCTTCTTCTTCAATTATTCGGATGGCGGACTGCTCACTAGCCGACTCAAAGAAACGCACCGCTTAAAACACATGTAGATAGATGAACTATGTATATATAAAATGATAACAATAAAGTTACTGGACCACCTTATTTCATCGATTATTCATACCAAGGTTAACTGAAAGTCGTATTGCAATAATACCACCGGACTACTATTGACGTTAAAACTTTTAGATCTAACAGACGCTTTAAAGAGGAACAGCACCGCATCTATTGCCTAACTCTTTAGAGAACCTTGTTGAGGAAGAAGGGGAACATGCAACTCACTGTATGACGTCAAACACCCAGCGAGCTCATTAGCGGCCGGGTTAAAGTTTGTCGGCGGTTTAGCACCTATAAATATTATTGCAAACAGTCTATGAGGATTAACATAAACTGTGAACCAATGTGATCATTTTGTGAAAATTAGAACACCTTAAAATAATTATTAGGCAGCATCAAAACCTCTGACGTCTCATGTTTCTTCTCATTAAAGGACAAAATTTAAGCTGCTTTCGTCTCGATTTCAGGACATAATGGGTATCTTCGTAAACATCTTGTCTCAATATCTGCACAGATTAAACGGAGATTGTAGTGGAAGCCTTACCGACGACATTCATTCTTGGAAAAACATAGGCTGTAACTAATTGGGGTCGCTTTTCCGCCTTATCTTCCTCTTGTAACGGTCCGGCTGTGCGTATAGGTTGTGCACGAGTGATGAACACATTGTGTGCTTGATTTCGTTCAGACAGAAATTCCACGCAGCGTGTTAGGTTTCTAAAATTCAACTTTATGGAAAGTATTGAAATCTGATCAATATTGACGGGCATCTCACTTATATACTTGAATTTCTCGTATACACGAGTCTCATGGAACCCAGGACATGTTAACTAATTTGTTCGTTTTTCAGTACGTAAACTGTGCCATGTTTCGAGTTCACCAGGCGGGAACACATCAGCCCACTTTGCGTGTGATGATAACGTAGAGGATGTCTGAATCGTTCTGGAGACCACTGTTCTTGCCTTTTTTGATGTCGCTCATATAATTTTTCATCAAAGAAGCAACTCATCTATGCTTCACTAAAGATGTACACCGCTGAGTAATGAATATGGTATACGTGGCGAATAACCGAACTAAAAATCTGCGTTTGAAGTCGTATTTGCAGGTTATTTTAGAAATTGACAGAGAGTGTAATGTACTGAGTAAAATCCACGATCATACATATCAAAGCATTGAAAAAACTAATGAATTGAACAGGTAAATGCGTAGACCTGGATCCATTAGTTGGTTTATAGCTTTCTTGATAAGCTTAAAGACGATCCATTCCTTTTTGTTCTATGCACAGTTCTGTCTCCAAATCTTCAACCACTTTTAATGAACGATTTACATTCATATGCAATTCGCTAAAGGAGACACAGAAGTCAAGCAAGGACCATTTCCGATCTGAACACACATTCAAAAACATATCTGAGTTAAATAGCTTATGTGTCAAGGACGTAATATAAATATATGTAGATGACTTGTCCTCCTCCATCGTGCAAGAAAACATGTATTTCTCAACCTTATGTTCTTTTTTCTGAACAACTCTAATAATCAGAAGAGATATGTCACACTGATGTGCACTGGGTTCCCAATGAACGTAATTTAAAGTTGCTTCTAAAAGAACTACTTTATCGCCAAGGGAAGGCTGTACATGCCAGCACCCCACGCACGTTCTCGAGTATTCCCATTTATTTAGCCAAAACAGAATTGTAGCAATTCACCGAGAAACATGAGATATAAAGCACAAAAACGCCTTCACGACTGTTTTATAAAGGATAAAAAATAAAGTTTTCGGAGTTGAATAATCACTGAGGAATGCTTTAGGCATCCGACTATATATATACATATATATAATATATATATATATATGCATATATATAAGAGGATGTTAAGATCTTATAAAACCTATGTACGTTGTATACGTAATATATATATATACATATATATATACATATATGTATCTATACATAAGCATGTACATATATAAATGTACACATATATGTATATATATAATGTTCATATATATATGTATATATATATATATATAAGCATCGTAAAGATGATTGAATGTATATCCGGCTTATACAACGATTTTCGGAGAACTGCCAATGTATCAAATCCGTGCTGCTATCCTCCCAGACAAATTGGTACCAATTTGTTGACCCAGAGAAGATGGAACTTCTGACCAGCCCGGTAAGAGAGATCGAACTAGTGATCGATACGATATGTAGTGCTGCGCTACACGCTCCTAAACTCTCCTATTCTCTCACTATCTTTGACAGGTCTCGTAATCATGTAGACTGTTCATCGTTCAATGTGGTATTGGTTTCCTTAAAGATAACTAGCACAGAGTTCGAAGACATACACAAGATATTATGCGAAAATTCTCGATGTAGTATTAACTAATCGCCAGTTCCCAATAGGCACATCGTATCTCGATAGGTACTTGTGACGAGTAGGCCAGTGTGCTCCAGATTGATGGATCTAGCCACTTTGAGCTCGGCGCTTGATAGACGACTTTTCGACGATGCGATAACATACTTGATTTTTAACGAAAATACACGCACGATGTTACATATATATACATATATATAATATACATATATATATATATACATATATGTATATATACATATGCACGTACATATATAAATGTATACATATATGTATATATAATGTACATATATATATGTATATATATATATAAAGAGGATGTTAAGATCTTATAAAACCTATGTACGTTATATACGTAATATATATATATATACATATATGTATATATACATATGCATGTACATATATAAATGTATACATATATGTATGTATATAATGTATATTTATACTTAACATGCATATATACACTACACAGTAAACATATACATTGCATATATATTACCTTTAGAATATATTGACTAATGAATGACCCGCTTTAAAAGATGGAACTGGGAGACCTACATTATCTTCCCAGATGCAGTGACTGTTTTATGTGGATGTTGGAAAGTTGTCATGCTGATCTTCCTGGTCTAATTGGCGGAGCACCCGCGGACATTGATGTTCCTCCTCTAAGCTTTTTAGCTTCAGAACTACTGCTCTTCTGTCATTTCTCACGTTGTTACAAAACCTTAGGTACAACACTAAGCTGTTGTATTAGCTTGAAAGTTTGTGTAGCCAGATGTCCCCTAGCTAATTCGCCATTCATATCCCTCGTTAATTTCCGATAAAAACAAGTCTTGCGCTAAGCCAATGATTGGATCCTATTAGAATTGTTGGAATCATACCAACAACCGTTAGAAAAACGTTTGATTAGTGATAATATGGTGCACACGATTATGGTATTTTCCACTATGAATATTCACGTCTGAAAGTCAAATAATCTTCTGAATGCTCCTGGTCTTCAGGATTAACTCCAAAAGCCTCTTATGCTCTTATCAACCCCGTTTTTCGAAGTGTGACTTTCTGACTCGAGGCGTCTGTGATTTAAAGAAGTTAATGTCCATAGATAAACTCTTCTTGACGAGAATAGAAACCCAACCAGCACTTACTGTCTCTTGCCTTGAGGTATCAGTATTGTGAATTGCAGACAGCGAGTGATTTCTCATTTCGATCCATTCACATGATAACACGTCTTAGCACGCATCAATAAACGCCCCATAGAAATTTACGATAGTCCCTCTCAAGAATCTGTTGTGTCACACAGATTTAAACAGCCTTTTCATACTCGTTATTCCACATGTTCTCGCAGTGTCGCTTTCTTTGTCGCAGTCAGCAGCAGTCACTTGCCTTTACCAACTTTTGTAAGATATAACCACTGGTTCGTTATTGATCTATGTTGTAGTGATGTATAACGAGTACCTTACTGAGTCTCATAACACTCGATGTAGACTTTTCTGTACAACCCCATCATTTCATTCTTTTCCAAATGGAAGTTCAAGCAACAAATCGTGTGTCTTCGCTTCGTTCATATCCTCACACCCCGCTTTTGTGCGCGAACAAAATCTCTCTGAAACGAACTATCGGTTCCTCATCGCCTCCACGTTGGAGTTTACAACGCTATAACAAAATCGTCGAGAAAGTTGAACTCTAAGGCGGTCTATGTGGCTGCGAATAGCTTAGGATTGGAAGAGAGATTTTGTTTAGCCCTGTGCTTATGCAATCCCTTAAAAGAAAAAGCAACAACATAGGCACGAAAAGTTGCTATTGGACCTATAGGATTACCGTTCTAAATATCTACTACAATAAAAACTTACTCAATTTGAAAATAAAATCTTATTTATCTTCACGTATTCAAACTTCATACCTTTGAAAACAGTCGTATTCGTCTAGTGTTGTCAACTGAAATGCGAACGCGTTGCAAAGCCAATTTGGAGGCTCAATGGTGTAAACTTCGGACGAGTCGTTTAGTAATTCAAACCGCTGAAGGAAAAGTTTAATAAAATAATAAGACGAGCAGCCACACCAACTTTATGCTGTCTGGGTCAAGCATAAGGACTGAATGTGTTTATTTATTGAAGGAGCGCATACAGCGCAAATGGTTATAAGTGTTCCGGAATACCGCGTATTACTTCGTTCGATCCCGCGCGCTTAATTATTCAAGCTCTCCATCCTATCAGTCTCAGAAAAATCATATCAGGCTTGTCTGGGACGAAAAACCCTGAACCATAAAAGAGTATTTCCCAAGAAGTCGCTGTATAGGGCAAATATGCATTCAATCGCCTACACGCTACTTTAGTGCATGAAGCGTCCGAAGGGGATTGATGAACTTTTAATGCTTTAATGAACGCCCCTTAATTAATTCAGTGGCAGTACGAAGGAAAATCAGCAATTCATTATTTATACATTGTCTCTTAACAGTCGATATGTAATGAATGGATGGAGGTCTGGATTAGTCCGAAAACTTGTTCGATTGCAATGGTGCTTGTGTTACTATACTGCGCTAACACTGAATGGCTTATTTGAATTATACATGGTATAACGTAATAATTTTAGCATAGAATACTGATTACCCTGTTGATTAAATCGCTTTCGTATGGCCAGTATAGGAAATGTAAATGAAGGTGATTGATTGAGGCTTGTCCTAGCAAGCTGTTGAACAATATGTTGAACGAATGATCGGCTGTAAGAAGCATAACATCTGTGGCTATTCGTATAGCTGTCGGCGTCAAAACCTAAAATAATCCTTTGATGATGAGCGCATATAAATGCGCCACGAGTAAGCTGGTTACTAATGATTCTACTACCAATCGATTATAGTGTGATGATACCTGCGGTAAACACCTGTTTATTGATGGAATGATGAGACTGTGGTCCCTTTCAAGTGGACTTGCGTTCACTGCTATCACGTGGCGATCAAGAGCGTCATGGGTGATTGGGCGATCCTCGCATCGCAGATAGAGAAGGATCTGCAGATGTGTGGTCAGGGTATATGTGCAAATTACACCTGCAGTCAGATCACACCTCAGCATATCAACTTACTACACACGCCTACTTACCTCATTCTCAGGTAATTTTGTGAAATTCCATCGAAGATGATTGAAAGGTTCCCTGATATTCTTAAACCGCATTGGCTTTCTTCGTAATTCACCGCGTTCGACATTCAACTGCAAGATGCGAACATTCCATGGCTTACATCCCCAATTTATTGTGTCTATGACATTAGAGTTATCTCGAAACAAAGTAATACTCGAAATAGTGCACGGTGTGATCTGCCCTCGAAAAACCAACTTTTAAAGTACTTCTTAACGAATACACAAATCACTGGAATATTCATCATTGAGAGAATTTATGATAGCAGTCTGTGATAGCACTTTCTACGAGAAAAGGATATTAATCATAATCAATCCACAGTTTCGCGCTGTTCAAGTCAGAGATTTTAAGCTATAATATGCAAATACGAAAAAGTATCAATATTACATTACGGGTTTAACAAGACGGACTTTCATTTCGTCTCATGTGAACATTAACGTATCAAATATCAGTATGTCTCATTTCACTTGACTAGAACATCGCTGAGGTGTCTCTTCAGTAACTACAACTTCATCGAACCATAGGTTTCATAAGAATACCTCCGTGCCGGACTAGACATGAGACAAAAGGAAACTAGATTTGTTGCTCAAAAGCACTGTAATGTCAATTATATTCATGCTATTTAGAGAAACATTGAAAAAACACAGGTTTAAATAAAAGAAAGGATAAAGTTCCAGGCGTTGATCAATCTTTGAGGGATGCACTATGCATTTAACTTCATTAAGCATGGTTTGGAGCTGATTGAATGCATATCTGGCCTTTACAATGACTCGCGGTGGCCTACCGATGTGTCGAGCCAGTGCTGCTATCCTCCTAGATAAGTTTTGTACCAATTTGCCCACTCCGGGAGGATGGAAGGCTTGGTGGGCCATGAGCGCAAGGATCGATTCCACGTGTGTGTTGCAGAGCGCCTTCAACCACTTCGCTAGATATTTGATACGTTAATGTTCACATGGGTTAGTCATCCGAAAACTAGTAGTGATGAAATTGTTTAAGGCGAACAGTCATTTCTGGGCAATCAAATATTACGTTCCCTCACCTGTTAAAAAACCTATCATATAAGGGCCATTGGTGATAAAGGCTCATAATCTATAAGCACGAATACTGACGACATAATTTTGAAACCAGCTGTCATTTAACCTAGGTAGTAAAATAACCAACATGTGTTTAAACTGTTGAACTTACACCAGTTTGATAAAGACTTACCACTTAAACTTAAAGTACTCAGAAACTTAAAGATCCTTATCAACCTCTCGTAAGTTCAACAATTTAAACACATGTTGATTCAACATCAAATCAATATAAAATCAAAACAATTAAACCACATTACAGAAGAAAACGCACGATAGTTAAAGCAGTAACGGTAACAACAATAACAATAACAGGCACTAGCAGAGAGAAAACTAGCTCAGCGAAAGACGAAACAAGAGACGCGCATGGTCTGCTGGTAAACGCGTTTGCCCCGGAAAAGCTAAAAGCGTGTTCGATCCCCACCGCGTACACTTGCTGTCCGGAGTTTCGCAAATATTTTAGCATAATTGTGGTTGCCCCTCACATAATACCTTGCCGCGAAGATTGTAGTAGGCAGTTAATAAAAGGGTTAACATTGTAATAACGATAATAGTAGTAACTGCCACGACCGACTTTCTATTAACCTCGACATTGATCAAGTGATTTTCTTCGTATTTTTGTTGAGCAAACGCGAGGTGTTACTATTCTTTGTTCACGATTAAGCTGACGTTTCGGCGGATTTCGCCTTCTTCAGAAAAATAGTAACACCTCGCGTTTGCTCAACAAAAATACGAAGATAATAGTAGTAATAGTAAAAATACTAATAACAGCAACAATAACGACGTACCTGCATCGAAAGATTGTATCGACCGTCAAGTAATTTGTACATACAATTGAGGCCATATTTGAATGCGTTCTTGCCTTTTGCCTCTTCCCATCGTGAATGAAGAAGGTCGTTCAGCTATAAATTAATGCCAAATGGTAACATCGAAGAAATCGTGACTATCATGCCTCAATCATACAAATTGAAGTAGGATATTGAGGCAATCCAAACCAGCTGTAGATTCTTCAAGTAAATCACACAACCCTACCAGCATGTAAGATTGAGACTCCTGAAACTGTTACGCCACATTTAACCACAATTCCTTACTAGTTCGTACTTTTCTTTTTCGGAGCGTTCCTTGAGTCGATGTCACTTCGTGAGTTCGAAGATCGACAATAAATTCGTTGACACTGTATTCATAGACGGGCACTGGTGTAGTTGTCTGTTTGAAATCGGTCGGAAACTAAACTATACAAATCATATTCCTTGTAGCTACTGCCTATTATAATGGCACATGTGGTCACAATGGCCATCATCGTATAGGTAACCTGTAATGATGACAAACGTGATTCGAATGACATCAAAATACCATTTCGAACGCAGAACATTGCAGAAACTCCCCAACAAGAAACTGCATATTTGGGAGAATTGGAAGATTTTCAAATCCTTTATTTTATATTTTGCTCTCAAATGAATCACAAAACGTTGCCATCAAAACGATCATTGATTTAAAATTGTTTTGAACTGTTCCGATTGTGAGACGTAAGTGACCATTTCTGCAGAGAAAAACAACGAAGGTCGAAAGATACACACCTGAGTACTGGATGCAGAACGCTGTGTTCGCGCATTGATGCTCGACATCCGTCCCAACTAATTCTTCCCTCCGTCGCAATTATTCGCTATATGGGCGGGGCAATGAGTAATGCGCTATCGGAGTGCTGTCGCGCTAGTCGCCAGCCCAGTGCTACGACAAGTGAATTATCTAAATAGAGATAGTGAGTGATGTGACGCCCGGAAAATTCCGGAAAATGAGCTTCACACATTTAGTGGCCGTAAATAGGTTTAATGTCTCGCATAAGATTTAACATCGACTTTATTGTTTAGGAGTCTGTAATAACCCGAAATAAGAGTGAAGAGCTAAAATCACAATGTATATACAGTGATTTCGACTATAGCCTCAGCTAAACTGGATTTAAATAAAGAATTAGCTGAGAGAAAAGCAGAACGAGTGGAGCTGTGCGTAACATGTGAGTCCACGGAAAGGGTAATCGCGGTTCGATCTGGCCTAGGGCCTAAGTTTTACAAATATCTCAGCATAATAGTGAAGAGTTAGCTTTTGAAGACGCTTTACGCTAATCGAGGCTAGATAGGATTGGTGTCCGATATGTGATTTGATGTCGATCCGTACGTCCGGGACCGCAACTCGGATTAACACCACATAGTTGGCTGTGTGCATGTGTGTGCTCTAAGTCAAACATATATGAAGTCATGGCAAAGAATTGACAGTATTATCCGATATTTCTTAGTAACAGCGACATAAAACTAAGCAGTTGCACTCAAAGTAAACACGATTTCTTTGGTTGATTTATCAACAGTCTAAGTCGTTCTCTTTTCGTCAAAATCAGTATGTTCCACTGACAACAAATTTTAAAACTTCACTAGAAAGTAACGAAATGAGCTATTGAAAGTAGAACTTGGCGACAAAGTCACCGTTCCTGTCTTAGCGGTCTTAAGCATGAAGTCTTTTGTTTCTACACACTTTAGTAAGAGAAATACCAGAAGTCTCTTGTGGGACTGGCTGCAACCATACGTAGTTTGTCGAGTTCCCCGTGAGTAAAAGTGGAAATATATCACTTGAAGGTGATCTTAAATCACTTTGTATTTCAAGACACTTTTTAATTACTTAGTGCATTTAGCTAGATTGACGTGGAGGACGTAATCCGCATATACGCAAACACACCCACTTCTTCACACATGGATATGCTTACATGTACATGGAAAGACAAAGTCGATCTGGCGCAGATATGACAAGTACATATTCGCATTAGTCTTCCTTCAGTTCTCTCATACGATGACGGGACAAGGACATGTATTACTTCCCAGACAGAACTAACTAATACATAACCTTTGCTTGGCTACTTCAAGCACCTCCCAACGGTTTACCATCTCATCGTGGCTGGGAGGTGTTCCTGGGTGCCGGACTGCGATGTACAGAGGAGTGATCCATCCCCACCAGTCTCCCAAGTTAAGGAGTGCGGCGTTTCCATCAGGAAGCCTAGCTAGGAGTAAACCAATACCAGGATCCGCCACCATCCTTGCATCAAACTAGTCGCATGATGGCAAATCTCGCTCTGATCCATAAGGGCTGCGCGACTGCCTTTGGTGGTGAGGACGTGGGGCAGGCTTTGGCTAGGCTGACTTCGGGACTCTAGGTAACCACAGTGGCTTAACTAGCAAAACTCAAAAACAAATGGAAATCACGCTGGGGTCCTCACAGCCACTGAAGACGAGCCATCCAAGTATACAACCAAGTAAGCATTTCAGTTAAGGATGACTATTTTTTACAAATGAGTTCAATTTTACTTGTTCTAATGAAGCTTAGTTCTTTCATCTAAGTTCACTTCACTAGGTTCATAAAATCTTTCACACATATATATATATATATATATATGTATATATATATATATATGTTTACCACATGAAGAAGGACGAATGTGGCGCATCATGAAAGCTCACCCTACACCCAAATCCAAAGATTTTCATGGATGATGGATGCGATGAAACGAATAGAATTAGAGATGTGCTGCGACCTGCATAATACGTGGTCGAGTCGCGTAAAAAGGGGAAGAAATAAGACACAATTGGAAAAATCGAATTTAATGGTAACTCCGTGCTTTCTGTTACACAAAATTGATGAGTCAATTTGAAAATATCGGGAAGGACCTTGATAAATGAAAGATTTTCTATCAGTTTAGGTACGAACACCAGTTCTAATTACGCTCGGAAGTGTTCACATAAATCTACTTGCGCATTTTTCCCATCTTCTTCAATTCTTTTTTTAGCTTTCATATCTATCTAAACAAAAAGCATTCGCATAGTCCACTGAAACTTCGCCAATTACAAAGCCAAGGCGACTGCACTCTGACGCCCAGACAGAACACTTGCAGCATCGAGAAAGGCAACGGAGAATATCATTTACGATTACTACTCGGATCTCTTCAGTAGCAACGTCCTCGTGCACTCATACGAAATAAAGGTCCTGTCGGATCTCCCTTCCGAAATGCAACATGCTGTTTCGTCGGTGAAAAATAGAACAGCACCATGTCCGGATAGTATGAGATCTGGAGACCTGAAGAATCTTCCACAAGTCCTCATAAACACATTGGTTCGGCTCTTCACACGTTACTTATCAGAATACAAGGCTTCTATTCAATGGAGACCAGTAATACCTGGTTATTGTTCAAGAAGAGTAAGCTCAATGACGTCTGCAATATCGCCCAACCTACTGTCGTCTGAAAACTTTTCGCTCAAGTGATCTTAAACAGGTCTGACAGAATACTGAACGAAGGACAGCAATATAAGTAAGCAGGATTTTAAAAAACATTCAATACTACGAACCACATTCATACGATAACAAGATTCATTCAAATACAGTGAGAGTACAAGAAACCGTTCTGTCTCAATTTCATCAATTCAAGAAAAGATTTGACACAGTTCAGATAGAAGCAGTTATGGAAGCTCTGGATTGTCAGTACGTCCATACTCAGTATACAAAGACTCTTCGTCAGCTTTTTGAAAACCTTACAACCAAAATATGACCAGTCTTCAACGATATTAACATCGACGCCAGAAGAGAGGACAGGTAAGGCGATACCATCTCGCCAAAATTACTTAGCGCTACCCTTAAGAACGTCATGCGAACACTGAAATGGGACAACATAGGAGTGGATGAAAATAACTCAGCGCTATGGAACGCTCAGTCGAAAGGATGATGCTAGGAGTATCTTGTATACTACGAAAGCGAAGGAGGAGATCCGATGCTTCAACCTACGTCAAAAATCATGTCGCAAAAGGTGGGCCGGACACGTAATGCGTATGAACGACAACCGAAGGACAGTAGTCGCTAGTGACTGGATTCCTCGGGATGTCAAACTTGCTGCAGGAAGACCACCGACCCGATGGCCAGAGTTCTTCACGAAAATCCTAAAAGAAAGATATGATGCTCGACGAGTCCCTAGAGCGAGCAGAACCCACTGGGCTACTCTTGGACGCAACAGGGAAAAATGAAGATTTACTTAGGCCTATTCGAGTCACTCGACCATCAACGGAACGAGAGGTGTAGCATGTGGACCAAAAACATGAATACGTGTATGTTCCTACTAATTCCAACTATGTCACGGGAAAATTTGGGCCTCCCTAACAATATGCGTATAGCATCTTTAGCTATACTACTCCAGAAACTAACAGAAACAAAATCTTGATAAAACAGCACTCACATTGCTCAGGATACGGACGAGGTCGTGGTAGTTAGATTTTCGTCGTCAACGCTGTCTACGCTGATCAGTTGATAAATCTTCTATAACAGCCGCGAAGTGTGCCGATTTTCTTCTGAATATTCTCGCCACATACAGGCACGTGTAAAAGTCGAACCCGTAGACCGTCCCCGAATCGTGAAACCACGAATCCACGAATACGGTTTAAATGTTTTACTAAGTGGCGATAATCATCAAAGATCGCGTGCAATTACGGACCAACTATCCTAATTCGCGACTATGTTACAAATTCCTTGAGTTCTTTCTTTACTTCAGTATTATTCTTGAGACGGTTCTTAGAGTTGCATTTCTTAGTGTCCGACCTGAATTTTGCGCTGTCAATTTAGTCTTCATTGATGAAATACGAAAGCATAATGTCTTCTATCGCTTTATGGAGTCCGCTCAACATTTACAATGGTCCTTTACTTACTAGGGTTAGACTGGTATGTGGTTTTCTTCAAAAGTTCCTACCGAAAGTTCTTCCTCCGTACAACTTCAATTATGATTCGGTTAGTTTATTTTCTGTCGGGACCATATCAAAATATCCATCATCATGTTGCTTCGGTCCTTTCTGAAACACGGTGGTCGAATGCATGGTCATATTTTTCTTCTATTCTAGTTCTAGTCTATAGTTATTGGTCGGCATTGTCCCTTATAACCATCGTTATATACATATTCTCCATGATAATACTTTGTACTAGTACTCAGGTGTGTGTAGTGTTTCCTACACTTCATATCTTTCTTATCTTATACTGGATATTCTTATTTATTGGTGTACTGCCATATCGAGCAGGATTCTTGTGCATCTTTGTACTACTAAGTATGTTGTCTAGTACTCCAACTGTAGTACTTTGTCGAATTGTTGATCTATAGAAACATCTATTCGCCTTCCACGTCGGGAACAGATTTTCAAGAACTTGATGAGGGTTTGTTTACTAGAAAGTAGGCACAGCGCAACTTGTTAAGCTAGTATGATGTCCTTCACTTTATCCATATGGAGGATTGAAAGTAGAAGAATGATAATGCCCGAGACATTCTGAATATGTAGGCCCAGTTTTTTCACACCACTTGGTGAAATCATATTGGTTTGCTGTTTTGTAAGTGAATACCATGCCTGTTTGCTGCTAATCCAAGCACTGGTACAACTTCGCATTCGTTCCTGCCATTGTTCACGAAAATAGCAAAATTTGTAGTCGTCTATCTTGTAAGTGGTCTTATATGAGGCCTCCATCTTCTTCTTGTCCTTTGCAGAATTCCGTTATCCTCCCCCTCATTGAATGTCGTCAGCGCAAGACTGGATCGTTTACAGTTGTTTTAAATACATATATTCTAGACTATCCCAAACCTGCGATGTTCATTTAAAGCTTAAAATCTAGCGTTAACTTGGATATCGGTGTGGATTAATGGCTAGTTGTAATAATCTGATTCTGTCTGTTTTGTCCTTCAGCGAAACGAGAGCGGTATAAATTAGAGAGTAGCATTCTGATGTCTTCATAAATATACTTTCTAACTACTGTTGAAGAACACATGTAGTGACAATACGAACTCATCATTGTTGAATTATCTTGTAGATTTTATCCTTTTTATCACTTAGAGAGCAGGCAATTCAGTGTGGACCTCTAACCAACCAACCATCCGAGTTTGTATCCGGAAAAACGCCAGATCTCGCTGCAACAGTTTGATAATTGGATAGTGGAAAGTTGGGTTATAAGGTTTTAAGAGAGCTGAAGAATATCCATCTGGTGTTTTCACTCCGACCACCAACAATGAGAAGTTGCAGTTGGTTCTCCCTGGGTGTTATGGTCGTCCAATACCGCTTCGATTCTGCACTTTTTTGCAGAAGAGGCTATTTTTGATTCAGTGTTAGTCATAGTCAGGAAGAAAAAGTTTCACACGTAAACACATCCAGTGAAGAATTTTTTAGTTGCCGCTCCTGTAACAGTTCTCGTTCAGCTCTTGTCTGACAGCGCCAAAATCCCGATCGAGCACTAGCAATGCATCGATGCCTGAGAAGCTCAGTCAGACTTTTCGACAAATGTCGTTATGCGATTCTAATGCAGACTGTACTGATTATAACACTCGTCACCGCTAACACGTTGATGCCGGAGAAGCGCTTCCCATTACAGCAAGCAGCCACTGTATTACGTCGTTTAAAGCAACGAACTACAGAAGCAGTATTTTCGGACCTCAGAATGGCTTGGCGATCCAGTGGCAACAGCAATGAGGAGCTGGTACGAAATCTACAAAGTCAGGTTTCATTTAAAGTTAACAACTGATAGCTAACACCGAGCGCTATGATACAAGTTGGTGTTGCTTTTATGTTCAATTTTCTTTCTCAGCAATCACGAGGTTGTTATACAGCATATGTTTACTTACCAAAACAGTGCCGAGGTTAATAGAAAGTCGATTCTGGGAACTCTGTGCTCAACCATTATTTGACTGCGACTCAGTGGATGATTTGATTGTAGGTGACTAAACGATTATAGTCGTCTCTGATAAATTAGGAACATGGTACAATAAAACTCAGACAGATCATGACTATGAACATTAGGGATGAAAATGCTTGAACCCACTAAAGCCATACCTTTTTTCAAAACACAACGGTTGTTTCACTAAAATGAGAAATGTTTTGCTTCTTCACCTTTTATAAGGCAAGAGAAAGTTCGATTTTATTGCGAGTGATCTGGTGCCTTCGTAAAATACCTCCGCTTGGCGTTAGATTTTGTCTGCCAACTACTGGAACGTTGTTCATAAGCAATACTTGAACAGAAGTACCCTGACTACGATTTAGGTACCTATGAGAGCTTGAAAGACTGTTAAATTTTTAACACCTTTTGTCTAAATCAAATACATGCTGGACTGTTTTCCTAAAAGTTGGGAAATATTTGTCCTATTCCTGTCGAAGTACATTCATCACACATGGGATGAGTTTCAGCGTATTCTAGTTTGTATTGCTTTGATTACTTAGATATTTACCTAGGTAATACTTGAAGTGCTTGTCTTAACGAGACCTTGGTATCCTTCAGAGGGCAGAATATTCACGTCGGATCGTGTTCGTGATGCTATGCTTATTGTTGACCGTGCCGATTTCGCACCGGTATCACCTTATAGGGATCAACCACAAGGAATTGGATGGAATGCCACCATCTCTGCACCTCATATGGCTAGTTTTCAATACTCTACGTGAAAAAATCAGATATTGGAAAGAGGTAAAAGTGTTATTGGCCTAGACGAAGAACTTCCTGGTAGGACTACTTAGTTTCTTTATTCTCAACGACTTTATAACGAAATGGTGCATGCCTTCCTACATATAGTGTCTTATCCTTTTCCTTTTATATGTAACTGTAGTAACTACACTTCTTAGTCTCCAGTACTTCTTTGTTTTGTCATCATCCTAAAGAAAAATAGGCGAAAATAAATTTCTAATTATTTGCATGCTTGCATGGGTCGTCTTTAGGAATCGTGGAAATTAGTGTGGAACTTCGCAAAATTTCCTCCTAATTGGTAATTTTGTGGATAAGTAAAGTTGTTTTAATGAACTATCGAAGACGGCACTTGGGCTTTTTCAAGTAATCATGAGCTTGTAAGCGCTGCTGATGAAATGGCAGAGGCTACGGGTACTAGTTTACCTTTAGCTGTAAGCCCGGATGGGAATGTAGGATTTTTCTCGTCTTGACGACACTTCTGAAATCTTTTCAAATGAACCCCATTACAAATTCTAGTTCGACACTAGGTAACACTATTCAACCACGATGAAGCGGGAAATCGTTTGGGTGGGTAGGAGTAATTCCACTCAGCAAAATATTCGTTTACGCTTATTAAAAGGAAAAGATATTCCATAAAAGAGATTCGCTTCTTCGCGAAGCTTGCTATATGGTGGCCCCATTAAAAACAGAAAATTTGGCTTTAAAAAAAGAACATCGAATTCCAATTAGGGTAGTCAGGAACGGGATTCATATATGGTCTTGATCAAAAACGGTTAGTGATGCAAGTTTGCTAGCGCTATCGGTCTTCTTGAAGTCTGGTTCTTGCTAATATTAGAGGTTTCGGAAGGTTTCGTGAATTTTGAGAGAACCCCAAATTTGCCAGATCTGTTTGCTAAGGATTTCTTGATCACGTTACTCTAACACTGCATTTGAACTTTGTTTCCACACTGTACCCATATTTCTACTTCCCATTCATTTGAAAACTATCCAGAGAATTGAGGGTTAATCAAATACTTTGGATACTTCCAGTCTAACTAATTAGATTGAATGAACAAAAGCTGTTTGTGTTTAAAATCTTAATCAAATCTTTAATCTTTACAGCACGCCGCCTCGTTAGAACATTTGAAAAATCACCTCGTTGATGGTGCGTATGCGTTGGATGTAGGCTCCGGTTCTGGTTATCTAACTGTTTGCATGGCAATCATGGTGAGTAATCTCCGAAAGGAGACATCATGTCTAAAAGTAATTCTAAAAAAATCTCTTAGTGATTGACGGATGATTGCTAATGACAGCGTTAGGTAGAAAACCAGCTGAGAGGAACGGAGAACAAGGGCCTCCGTGGTGTAGTGTCTAATGCACAACCCCCTGGAAGGGGTATCATAGTTTGATCTGGCCTGGGGTCCAAGTTTTGCGAATATCTCAGTATAATTTTGGTTGTGTTTCACATCATACCCTACTATGGAAATTGTAATGGGCAGCAAATAAAAGGTTAACAATCTCTTAATATTGGTCTTTTTGTCTTTGAGTTTAAAACTTACAGTTACAGATTGGTAAAAACGGAAAAGTGGTTGGTATCGATCACATCCCGGAGCTGGTAGAGTTAGCCAAGGAGAACACGCGAAAGAATCACTCTGACTTGCTTGATAGTGGAAGAGTTCTTTTTGTTGAAGTAAGTGGCAATATTTCTGTTTCACATTCTGAAATGTCTTATATTAGTTAACCCAAAAAAGGATTAGCAATCCTGCTTTTTCTCTCCTATGGTATCTTATGCTTTAAAAGTACCAATGCTATCTACAGGATGTTGAATGTTATGTAAATATACCAGTACTTTTTCCTTGTTAAGGGTGATGGCCGTAAAGGATACCCGATAGATCACAAGTACAACGCCATACATGTTGGGGCAGCAGCCGAGACAGTACCAAAACCTGTAAGTATAAGATGTATTGTATAGATGTATTCACGTATAAGAGTATAAGAATCCTGGAAATAGTACAGTAGTGTGAGCAATACCCCACCATAGCAACCTGTTTAAATGGAAACAAAATAGAAGAGAATGGATGAAAACTCCCATGAAATTTTGAAAGTGGAATTAGTGTTTGGGAAACTCTTTAAAAGTTTATTCTCATAGCATAGAAACAAGTGAAACCTATAGAAACAGTCTCAAATAGTGAGCTAGGAGGATTTGTTCTATTATTTTTAGCTCGTTGAGCAATTGGCCGACGGAGGACGAATGTTGATACCTGTTGGAAAGGAAGGTGGCAATCAGGTTAGTATATGCAAAATACTTGAAAAACAAAGTAATTGTAGGCGACATATCCTTGGCTAAGGTAACTAATCCAATAGTGATCCACTGATTATTACAAGGCATTCCTCATCTACTGAAGAGAACTAATTCTCCCCGATAGATTTATCGACGTTGGGTAAGGTAAATATTAAACAACTACGTCACAATCAAGGAAATCTAAACACGGATTGCTAATTTATTTTCCTTTCATCCCTGAGACTAATAATGGCAATAACCTTGAATAGAATTTTTACTTTTGGTCAAGATTTTCTTACAGGTCTTCTTACAAGTGGACAAAGTTGACGGCAGTGTAACACAGAAGGTGATCGAACACGTCATATATGTACCTCTCACCAGTAAGGCGCATCAACTGGGTCGATATGATTAGCTTTCATGTATCTATGTGTACCTATGTGTGCCCATTGTCAATCTGACTTTGTGTTCCACGAAGAATTGCCATCTGGATCCACCATACTCATCGCAACTGAAATGCTTATGTACGTGTGCCCTGTGGCTTCTAGTAATATTACAATAATATGTCTGTTTACTTGTAAAGTACGTTCAATGTTAAACCATCCTTCCTAAACGTCAGTCTCAAAGCGGTGCATTAAGTGTGAACTAAGTCGTTTGAAAACATGAAAGCATAAATGAATCTTTCCCAAGTACCATATATTTGTGGAATGTCATACCATCATTCTGCATGATACACATTTGCCACGTTTTATTAGCTGCTTAATAAATTGTACATATAGATGGAGATGTGTATTGAAAGCTTATTGGTTGGACAGCAGTTCACGAATTCGACATAAGAAATGACTTGTCAAAGCAGAGTGGTATCTCAGAATAACATGTGGTGTGAAAGGTAATACTTCAAATTTCTACCATATTCTCTTCGATTCCCAATGGTGGGAAGTTGCCAACAACAACGTCGACTGGTCTTACGAAACCTCCATGTTTATCATTGCAATGAAAGTACCTAAAAGACAAACAGATGCTTAATTGTACACTATGATGAGAGGATCTTTAATGAAAAGGTTTCCAGTTTGACTCCTTCACAGTTTGTGGACTTGTGTTACAATTTAGAGTATGATTAAACTGAATTTACATAAAGTTATGTTGGACAGTATTGACGACGTTGTTTTAAAGTTTCCGGAGCTAAGAAAATATGATGTGGCTGAGTCATCTTAAATTTTAACTGGAGATATCGGTGTTCTCCGTCATGCGAAACACACTTTAGCAAGCTTAGCCGAAATCTGTGCATTTAAACTGCAACGAAGTCTGCAGGGAACATATCGTGGTTTACTTATTTCTATCACTTTTATTGTTAATTCATTTCCTATGATAAGAACTGATAACCACGTCTTCATGAGCTGTTCACGGATTTCTCCTGCCAAGTGAGATACCATTCTTTGCTCACGCGTCGACATCTTTCTTCGACCAGATTTGAAATGTTCCTTACATCACTGTTAGGGTCGATATGATTAATCAGAGCATATGCCAGGGCAACCATAGAACCCGATTGAATTCCATCCCCATCTAATATTTACACTTAAAGTCCGAAGTTCTGGTAGATTCTGGTAGGACCTTGGACGCCAATACCAGGACCCGCCACCGTCCTGATACTAAACTAGCCGTATAGTGGCAAATCTCTCATTTGATAGAAGACCGCCCATGGTGGTGACCATCTGGAGCAGATCTTAGCTAGGCAGACCTGGGGACTCCAGGGAACCGCAATGGCTAAACCAATAAAACCCGAAAAAGTGCAAATTATGCTGGGGCCTGCTCAACCAGTGAGGACGGACCATCCAAGTACCCAAGTAAGTAAAGTTTGACGTAAATTGTCATAAGCGAAAGTGTCAACAACTATCAATTGTAAATCAATATATCTCAAGCCATGATGAACCTTATTAGTTGAAACAACCTTCACGAATAAATTTGCAGTTTCCACTACATATATAACCTATTTTATTCTATAAATATAAACGTTTGACTTTCTGGAGTCCACGAATCGGATCTTCCTCACTTCTCCACCTTAAGGCTCATAAATTCAAAACGTTTAATTTCATGAAGCAGAATGACTGACTATGTTCGTTCACGCATCGTTCGTGTATTGCAGCTGCCAAACCTGCATAGGTAATTTTAATTATAAACAACTTTAGAAATGCTTCAACCATTCTAGAAAATCACATTTACTCTAGATGGAGCAAAGTTCCTTTTACCAAGCTCTCAAAATTCCTCAAGTACCCCAGTCATTGAAAAACACATCAGTAGCTGTTGAAAAACTAGCTTCGGTTTCTAAGTGTTCCTGTTGCAGAGGAAACGAATTGTTCTGTGATCCGGGTGAATGTTTAACGAAACACTAGAAAACAATTTTTTCAAACTATTTCGTGAGATCCATGAACACATACATACTGAGAACCAGTTCGGCACTGCTTTTTTCTAAACATGCTATGCCCACTGTGTTATACATAGTGTCCATTTTTTTGCAATTAAACAGGTGAGACCACATTCTTTACCCACCTGACACCAGATACAGCACCATCGTTTTTTCCCACCGGTTCGTCATATGTAACACCAACCCATAGGCCTTCACGAAATTCAGTTTCACCAACGAATGAGACTATACCACGACGAGGCATACAATTTCGGAGTTGCACTTCACATCGGTCGCCAACCTTCAATGTAACGAATTTTATCTTCGCCATGTTCAAAGTAGAAAAGATTGCAAGACCTACGAAAGCATTAACCATCCAAAGCAATATTTCATACCTTAATTTTTTCCGACGCCTTGTAGTTCGACTCCATAGTAGCAGTATGTTTGCGATCCTCAGCATTTCCAGCAAGCAGTTTTTTCTTCCATGCACGTGCAGTATCTGAAACACAACATGGACATTCATATTCCCTGATTAACTGCTCTGCTCTGGTGAAAATTATTCCACGATAAATTTGCTCAAGCTGCCACAGACAAGTATTCACTTGTGATACACTTAAGAAAGGGTGCATATGGAGCAGCGGTCACAAGCGCCCTGCACTATACATGAGATTGATTCCCGCGCCTCTGGCACACTGAGCCTTCCACCTCTCCGAGGTCGGCAAATTGGTACCAGACTTGTTAGGGAGGATAGTAGCACTGATCTGATACAACGGTAGACCACCGCGAGTCATTGTAAAGCCCAGATATGCATTCAGTCACCCCCCCAAACAATGCTTAATGAACTCGAATCCATGGAGGATCCCTAAGGGATTAATCAACGCCGAGAGACCTAGAGCTTTTACCCTTAACAATTCATTCTTTGACACTTGTAAAAGCACTAAACTTGATATCATGAAAGCATCTGTTCAACAAATTTCTGCTGAACCGCATGTCGCTCTCCGGTTACGAAACCGCTAGCTTTATGGTGAGCTGTTTTCTTCACTTCTTTGTATGTGCTACAACAATCAGAATAAGAAAGGAACCTTCGGTTTTGAAATGAGAACTATACCCTCGATCCACTATTTCCCAGTATATTGAATTAAACTACATATAGGATGAAACCGTAGTCATTCAAAGTGTACTCTTATTTGGTCAATCTTAACGATATTCAGCGATTAAAGCCTTCAAATCCATTGTTATTGAAATAGTGAAAGTAAACCTTTTCGACTGTTATATTTGTCATCACTCATTGTGTACTTTTCAACCATACTATCATCCTGAAGTTCCACATTTTCACCTGAGATGTCGATTGCATGAATACGCATACCTTGAAATAATTCAAAGAAGACCCATAAATACAAACACTGTCGACCCTTCTGCAGAGCTTTGTTCCATACTTACCATCTCTTACTCCCAACTCCTTCAGGCTCTTCGAGTTATCAGTTAAAGATGCCACAAACTTCCCCTGATCATCATGAAGTTCGACATGGATTGATTCAAAGGCAGCTCCAACAACCAACTCTAGTTTCTTCTGCAAAAGCAAACATATGGAACAATACGCAGGGCTTGAAAAAGGATACCCACTGAACAATCACAACACAGCGACTCGTTAGTTGAAAAACATGCCTTTAGTTCGCCAAGAGTTATTAAGGAAGGAAATTTCTTCTCGTAAGGAAATTCGGAAGCATTTGAAGAGATTTCCAAGCCATAAACCTCCGTCATCGCTCTATAACAAATGGGGAGTTACCTGCGTACTGAAATTCTATTATGACGCGACTTTAACACAGAATACCACGCATAGGCAGCAGGTTTACTTTTCAAAAGAAAGGAACATCAAAGATGCCAACTTATATTTAAGGCACTGAAAATGTAAGCTGATGACGGAAATAAAGGATAAAGGATAAAGCTCTCGGCGTTGATCAATCCCTCAGGGATGCGCCATGCAAAGCGACTTCATTAATTATCGTTGGAGGTGACTGAATGCATATCTGGCTTTTACGATGACTCGCAGTGGCCTACCGATGTATCGACCCAGTGCTGCTATCTTCCCAGACAAGCCTGGTATCAATTTGCCAACCCCGGAGGAATGAAAAGCTTGGTGGGCCATGGGCGCGGGGATCGATTCCACGTGTGTGACGCCTCCAACCACTGTACCACACGCGCCCTTATGACGGAAATAAGTCTTTTTAATTTAGGTAAAGAAGAACCATAGAAATTCGATGTCACCTGTTCTACACCTATAGGATGTTGATCAGTGCGAAAACTTGTTGTAGCTCTCTAGTACCCTACAAGTGTCCATGTAGGTTTCAGCACTCAAACGAGATTATTAGGGTTACTTCCGTACCTCTAATTACTAAGTATATCGAAAAAAGCAACAACCTGAAATATATTTACTGTTGAGCTTCGACTTCAAAGGGAATCTTATAGAAAAAGAAAAATGTGTTCTTGTCAAAATATGTTTATAGAGACACAGAACGGAAGATATAGAAATAATCGTCTAATACAGCCACAATGACGCTGAGATGTTTACAAAAGTCCAACCCATAGATGTCTGCGGTGGGGACTGAACCTACTATTACCCTTCCCGTGGGTTAACGTGTTCACCACTACACCATGTCAACTTATAGATTCTATAAGCAATCACCTGTCAATGAGATTGATCTGGGGAGCACAAATCGGCGTTAGATTAGTCGAGCTAAAGTTGTAGTATAAATCACAATTCTTTTTCAAGGCAAGGTATAAAAGGTAATAGCTGGTTCGATTCCCACCGCAGATACCTGCGGTCCGGACTTTTGCAAATATCTCAGTGTCATTGTGAATTTCACATTGTACCCTGCCATGAAAAAAGAATAGGCAGTAAATAAAGAAGTGATTAAAATGTGATTGACTAATAGTCTAAGAAACCGAAATCACGCCTAATCACTTGAAGAGATCGAAAATTGTGCTTTCTCGTCTATGAAACGCAGCTATCGATTCGAACTCTGATTGAGTTTATCGATTTCCTTGTAGAATCGCTGTATTCCATACCAGTGAACCCGAACCACTTACAGAAGAACTACAAATTCCATAACAGCTCCTCTACCCATTGGATGGAATAGAACTATAAAATTATCCATTGGAATTATTACAAAAATCGGACAGTAAACACACACTGCATTAATGTCTGGGAGGATAGCAGCACTGGGTAAGATAAGGACAGATCTCCTAATAGATCCTACCTCATATTTAAGAAAACGTTCGTTGTTTAAACCTTAGTTGGTGGGGTCCGCAGACTTACGCGTTAAATCTTGATGAAAGCGACAATATTTGTCATGTTGGCTATCAGTAAAGCGGAGCTAATGCTGCAAATGTCGGACTATATTTTGTAGAAGTTGGGCCGCTTTTGTAGAACTAAGTTTGAAAAGGTGTAAATGATGATATTGAAGACAGAGGGTGCTCTAGCTATCAATAGGTGGAACTTTAGGCTGGAACTGAAAATAAGGAGTACAGCAACAGTTCTACACCAATGTGTAGTACCTGAATATCACCTTCATGCCTTCGAATGGCTTTTCTACAGCGGTAGTAGACTTCATTTGCCATGACATTTGAACTCTACTCAAACGGACCACTTTATCCACAAAGTGAGCGCTTTAGATAGTTCCCCAATTTCCTATATACCATGAGACCGAAACCAAAAACTAGTTGTTTTCTGCGACATTAGCAAAAGTGATCCACTACACAACCGTATGTCAATATCACCCTTCAAGATTCTCAACAGGGCGGGATCCACGGAATCACGTAACCCGAGTAAATAAATCCTTTAATAACAACGTTGTAGTTAATTCATCAGTAAGACAACAATACAAAGTAAAGTTGTTACGAATCCAACTGCACAAAGGTTAGATACCTCTATGTACTTTACTTTATTCAGTGACACGGCCGATTAAGAAGCAAAGGCACTAACTAGATCGATCCCCGCCCGAACACTCTCCTCCAGTTCACGTGGGAGTGCCTTAGTGCGGGTTTCTCCAAGAAGGCAAGGAGAGTCGACTCGACCAGTATTCTACCACATTCAGAAATAAGAAGAAATTCCGAAGCAGCAGTCCAAGCAATGCGCGAGATTACCATGACCGACTTTCTGTATTCTTCATATTCTTGTTGAGCAAACACGAGGTGTTACTCAACTTATAAAGAATAAAGTAACATCTCGTATTTGCTCAACAAGAGTAGGAAGAATACACGAGGTATTCGAAAAGCCTTGTTGACGACGAATTCGGGGAAAATGAATCGAACTCAAGAAGTGCTGAGATCCTCACAATAGATGCGGTGAAGGATCAAGTAGAAAAAAATAAAGTTTCTAGTTTACCCTTAGACAGAAATCGATGTGAGCTTAAAAAATGTTGCGAGGGAAACAGATCGCCATGGCGACAATGTGAAAAAAATCAAAGCTAGAAATTTTTTTTTAAATATCACTTGTCCATTGTTGGAAATAATACAGGACACTCCATTATAAAAAACGGTACCCCGCCTTCTAAACCCTACTACACAAAGTGGCTTCGCAGGCGAAGAGGAATTTCTTGATGAGAGATTCAATGGTCTATACGACTCAGAATGACGTAAGAACCATTACTTAATTGAGTACTTGAATGGCTTGCAGTCAGTGGTTGTGCGGGCTCCAGCATAATTTCCATCATTTCGGAGTTTTGTTGGTTCAGCACTGCGGCTCCCTGGTGTCCCGAGATCAGCCAGGCCCAGGTCGTCATCACCACAGGCAATCGCCGCGCTTATTCATCAAAGGGAGAATTGCGACTATTTTGATAGTAGGACGGTGATGGATCTCGGTATTGGTTTACTCTTAGCTAAACTTCCTAATGGAAATGCCAGACTCCTTCTCAGCTTGGGAGGCTCTGCTGGGGAATGAATTTACCAATAAAGCTCTCGGCGTTGATCAATCCTTGACGGATGCGCCATGTATTCAACTTCATTAGGCATCGTTTGGAGGTGATTGAATGCGTATCTGGCCTTTACAATGACTCGCGATGGCCTACCAATGTATCGAGCCAGTGCTGCTATCCTCCCAGACAATTCTGGAACCAATTTGCCGACCCCGGAGGAATGGAAGGCTCGGTGGGCTATGGAAGTGCGGAGCGATTCCACATGTGTGTTGCAGAGCGCCTCCGACCACTGCGCCACACGTGTCTCTTCACTACTCCAGGCACCAAAAATTTTACAGTTGTACTATTATTGAAGTCCCCATCCTTTAATATCAACTAATCCACAATTCAAAATGTTCAGCGTTGTCTCAGAAGCCGAGCTATCACCCCAACCCACAATTACACATTGGTCCTTCGCTGACGTCTAGTAATGGGATAACTCGCCCGCGATTACAGCGTTAAATATGAAGATATTTGATCACTTTCCATGTTAGAAAATTCACAAAAATGCCAGATAGCGCTAATGAAACGATCGATAAAAAAAGGGAAGCACATGTTGAAACGAATTCCTAACGCTCCGTCTAGTTACGAAAAACTGGCTTGCCGTTAAAGGAGCGTCGCTTTCGAATTGGAGCGTATTTATGACTATGTGTTCATCTACTTTACTGTTCTTCTGAAGCTATCGTTTGCTAATCTGCCTTTGCTTATGAGTAGTTCCAGTGTAGTAAAAGAATCAGGTTTCGAATTTATGGCTATAAAGTACATTAACGATATGGCCTACACACCACTTATCAACCTTCGGCGATCAATAGGCAATTTCCTACTTACTGCCAGCAAGAAGAGAAATATATTCGCGTTCCTCGGCTGTTCATGACTTGTTACTTATAATCCATAATAACAAATAAAAAATATCTCTTAATGAAAGCGGAGCGATAATCCTCAATTTTCATTCGCTTTTTTTTCTTCGATCGTATCGAACAACATAAAGGATGGAGCTCTCGGAATTGATCGATTGCTGAGGGATGCGCCATGCATTCCACTCCATTCGTAGCATCGTAGAGGTGATTGAATGCATATCTGACCTGTCCAGTGATTCGCGATGGCCGGTGTACCGCGTCAGTGCTGGTATGCTACCAGACAGGTCTGATATTGTAGGCACTGGGGCTCGGGGATCGATCCTATGTGTACTACAGGGCGTCTCCTACCACTGCTGTACACATGCCCCTTTCGAATAACATAATTACAGCAAAATCGGGAGGAGTGGAATGGAAGTGCGAGAGAATGGAAAATTAGTTCTATTATCTTAAGTTAGTTCTACTATCTTAATAATATCATATTATTATCCCATCTTAAGAAAACCACACTAAACTCTCATGCTCTCACACTATAACTACGCAAACGCAATGTGATTAGTAAATGTAGGCAATATCACGGCGTTCTCAAGTGATATAACGTCATCAAATGTGCACGTCATTATTAGATATTTTAGTTATCACTGAATAGTTTAATTCCACGGAATCTACTGGTTCTACAGCTGATCCCGTAATTTGAATTACATGTCGCATTATATACTAATGCTCTTACAGTTTGCATTAACGATGACGCTAATCCGTCTCTCACAAAAGAGGGACACTATGTGAAACACATTTTCGTCGAGTTTCTAGCAGAAAGAAATCCTTCTGATACATGAACTCTCAGACCGATGTCTTTACACTGTAACTCTGAAAGCTTGATGTCCTGCAGAATTCCGGTGACCTACTGAAATTGGGGCGCGTAGTGCAGTGGTTATAGGTGCATGCAAAACATATG